TGTGGGGCTGCGGGGCAGGCCGCCTCCTGGGAGGCAGCACCCACGCGGAGACCCGGGTGCGAGGGGTGTCAGGAGAGGAGTTTGGCAGGCACAGGGGCTGGGGAAGCTGAAAGAGCCAGGGGAGTGCCGGGGCACCCAGGAGACTGACGGAGCGCAGGAAATCACCGCGCAGTGACGGAGCAGGAACCCAGTCCCTCGGAGCCCCGCGGCCCTGGGCAGCACCTTGCGACTTCAGAAGCCCCTGGGGGTGTTGGGCGGAGGCTGGTGTGGCCCGGCCTGCCCTCCTTAAAGGGGAGGGAGCCGTTCCCTCACCACAGGCTCCACACTGTTGGCCTCACCCCTGGCCACTAGGTGGGCAGGTCTTTCTCACGCCAAGCACTTCTCTAGGTTTCTGTGAGCACCAGCTGGGTGTCCTCATACATGAACTGAACCCTCAGTGGTCTTCCAGGAGGCAGCATCAGGCCCTCCCAGTGAAGGGCCCAGTCCACAAAGCTGACTCCACTTCAGATGCCAGTCACAGGTCCAGGATGTCACCTGTGCGTCTGACCAGTGGGATGTGAGTTGGAGGTTCCCACGACCCCTCCCCTCCAGTTCAGTCATTGCTAGAACTCTCACAGAATGCAGGAGGAGCGTGCTTACTGGATTACCAGTTTACTGTAAAAGGACACAGCTCAGAAGCAGTGAGGGAAGAGGTGTGCCAGGCAAGGCATGTGGGGCACAGCGCTCCCGTGTCCTCGCTGGGCGCACCACGCTCCCAGCACCACCGCATGCACACAGCCCAGAAGCTCCGGGAACCCCATCCTTTTGGGGTTTTATGGAAAGTTCCAGCCCTAATCACAGGGTTGATTTCCCTGACAACCAACCCTCATCCTGCTCTTCATGTAGGAAATTCCCAGAGTTTTAGGAGCCTTGACCAGGAACTTGGGACAAAGACCAAAATATATATTTACTATGCCACAATAACACACCTTCTGAAGGATTTCTCAGGCCGCTGTCAGTGGCTCTCGGAAGTTGAGGAAATTTCAGGGAAGAGGTGAAGATGTGTGGGGTGGCAGTGGTGCTGATTGAGTACTAAGAACTCCATAAATACTTGGTGAATGAGTGTCCCAGAAAGCTTATAGAACAGGGATCCATGAACTTTTTCCAAGAAAAACCAGACAGTAACTTTCAGCTCTGCAGGCCATGTTGTCCTCTTGGAAGTAACACGCTTGCGAAAGAGGCGTATGTTCCAGTAAAGCATTATGATGAACACAGGCCGTGAGAGGAGCTGGCCACTGTGAGAGACGGATGATAATCAAAGCGCTTGGTATTTCTGAACACTGTTATTTGCAGGCTTTGCTGTGTGTACCTAGCATTGGTTATTGGCGTTCTGTGCCGCGGTTCTGCAAATTATGTGCTGTCCTAATTTTATAGGACAGTCCTTCCAATGCATCTTCTCATTTCCGCCTATATTCTGTCTAGTATTTCTTCTCTGCCCCTGTGACCTCTGACATAGCCTTGGGAATAAAGTCAGAACTCATTAAAGACTTGACTCGTTGGAGTAAAAGGTGGTCAGGTTTTGGATTTTAATGCATTTCCTTTCTTTCAGTTTCATGAACAGGCGTGTTATATCTGCTAACCCATATCTGGGGGGCACCTCCAACGGCTATGCCCACCCCAGCGGGACGGCGCTTCATTACGACGACGTCCCATGCATCAACGGCTCGGTGAGTGCCCTTTGGCTGGAGTAATGGTTGGTTTTGTTAGACAGCTGTGAAAATCCTATGCTTCAGTTCCCCTGGTTTCAGGTACTGAGTAAGGTCAGCTTTTTAATGCTCTGAAGCAAGGAGACTCCATCTCATCTCTGTTCTCCTGGTTTCTGACATGCTGTTCATCTGAATCTGCATTTGGACAAGTGGATAGTTTGAGACTAGTAGACAGTTTGTCATTTAATGTCACTGTCATTTTCCTGTTGGTGTTGAGGTAGGGTCCCCATCTGTTGCCCAGGCTGGAGTGCAGTGGTGCAGTCACAACTCACTATAGCTCAACCTCCCCAGCTCAATCGATCCTCCTACCTCAGCCTCCCAAGTACCTGGGACCATAGGTTCACACCACCACATCCCACTCATTTGTTGGTTTTTAGTAGAGACGGGATCTCCCTATATTGGCCAGGCCAGTCTTGAACTCCTGGGCTCAAGTGATCCTCCCACCTCAGACTTTCAAAGTGCTGGGATTACAGACATGAGCCACTGTGCCCAGCCTAATGTCACTGTCACTAATTAAACGTGTCAGCCCACTAAAATGTTGACTAAAGGAGAGCATGTTAGAGTAATACTTGGATAACTTGTTAAATCAAAACATAACACAGTTTAAGTTATTGATGAATAGTTATTTCCCGATGGGATTAAAATGCTGAGAAATCCCCTCAGGAAGGAAATGGTAACATAGAGGAATGATCACATTACAAATTTGACAGCTTCCCTTGGGGTGGATTTGGAGCGGCCAGGCTCCTGGCTCCCGGCACAGCGCTATCTGTATATCCATATGTCCATCTATGCATGCAGGAGTCTTCAGTCACAGCTTTCTGTTACACTGGCCTCCAGGGTGTGCCTGGCCTTAGGAGTTCTGAAGTCTGTTCTCAGCGTGTTGTGTCATATGTGTCATCAGCAGGCCTCATCAACAGGTGCTGGTTCTACGGTGTCTGCCTGTTACTCATCTCACAACCACGTGTTGAGCATCCTGTCTGATCCAGGCACGGTGCCCGGCCCTGGGCGTTCAGAGATGAGGCCTTCACAGTTAGCGGATGAATGAAGGAGGCTTGTGAGAAACCACTATGCCATTTGTCTCCCAGTACTGGAAGGGTTTGAAATTGGCATCTATGTTAAGAAAATTTTCAAAGATAGACATAAAGTAAATTTATTGTTATGTTTTCCAGCCTTGGAAGGTATGTCAGACTTTTTTCTTACTGTTTTGCTTCTCCAGTCTTTTCCCTGATATTCTGATGAACGTCCTCAATCAGCCCTGGCACCGTAAATTCATAGCTGCCCCACAGCAGGAACCAGGAGACAACAGCCTCCTTGAGGGAAGAGAGGGGCTGAGGACCCCCAGTGCTCAGGAGCATAAACAAACTGAAAGCAGGTTCTCGTGGCCGGGGTCAGAAGCGGGTGGCCCATCCCTCAGGAGCCACGATGGACGCGGTGTGTCCCTGGGGCTCGGTTGCCTTCCCATTGGCCGCCTCCTCCTTCCTGCCGCTCTGGACCTGCCCTGGGGTTCCCGTGGGGGAGGCCGCCCTTGCTGTGCGAGGCCCCACCTGATTCTAAAAAGGGATCTTTTTGTCACTTCGCCTGCCCCCTTCCCTCCTCAGTCCTCTCTCCCTTGCCTTATTGGCTGGGTGTCTCCCAGGGGCCAGACTCTGTGCCAGTTGAAGAAGAAATGGCGAAGTGATTATCTTTGTCCTGAAAGGGCCTCTGAGTCTCGTGAGAGTGAGTGGACCTGGGAGGGAAACAGACATAGGAGCGGGGAGAGCTTCCTGGGCCCTGGGCAGGGCAGGGCCCGCTCATAGGTCCCATGTTAGGATAGGGTGGCATGGGGCAAACAGAGCCACTTTTGGATCCCATCCTAGCTTCAGAGTCCATCCAGTAGAGCCCCCCATCTTAGGCAGAGGGGTATCAGGTCCAGTGAATCTCCTCCTTTCCCCCTCAGCCAATCCTCCCTGGGGTGTCTCTGGGTGTCCAGTCACCACAGCACTCCACCCCTGGGCAGGTCTTGTGGCGAGTTCTTCCTGCTTAAGATGGCACCACAGTACCCTGTGAAGTAGGGCTCTCAGGCTAGTCCCTGCCCTCGATTCTGGCCTCTGAGTCCTTCTTGAGGTGGGACCTGCTCTTCTGCCTCCATTTGCCCTGTGTCACTCCAGTGTCTCTTGATAGCAGTCTTATCACTGTGTTTAGACTGCAGTTACCGCACTCATCTGCATCCTGAGAACCATCCACTTCTCTGAGCCTACGTCTAGCCTGTCCCACCCAAAGACCCTTTCACACGCCTTTTCCTCAGAGACGTTTCTTCCATGCACGCCTTACACACGAACCTGTGATGGTGAGCTAGATGCTGTCGTCACCCTGTGGAACCACGCACGTGATCGTCCGGCTCCACCCAGCACGTTGTCTTCAGACTGTTAGGACACTCTACAGGCCAGCCCCAGGAGCGAGTGTTCCTAAAGTTATTCGCAGCTTAATCTGTTGTAGAAACAAAGGTCTGCCATTCCTAAAGGGCTCTGCATGTAGGAATTGTTTGTGTGTGTATATTGCTGGGCTGGAGATAGCCGCCTTTAAGACATAATATGCTGTACATGTTCGTGACTTCCTTGCTTATTAGGCCTTCCTCTGCTCAGGCCCTTCCTGAAACTATTTTCTGTGTGTTCGGCTCTGTTACCAGCTCTTCTCTTTTTGGAGGGCCTCATTTCTAGGTTTTTAGAAGTTCATATTTATAGCCAGGCGTGATGGCTCAGGCCTGTAATCCCAGCACTTTGGGAGGCAGAGGTGGGCAGATCGCTTGAGCCCAGGAGTTCAAGACCATCCTGGCCAACATGGTGAAACCCCATCTCTACTAAAAATACAAAAATTAGCTGGGCATGGTGGTGGATGCCTGTAATCCCAGCTGCTCAGGAGGCTGAGGCAGGAGAATCGCTTGAGCCTTGGAGGTGGAGGCTGTAGTGAGCTGAGATTGCACCACTGCACTGTAACCTGGGCAACAGAGCAAGACTGCGTCTCAAAAAAAAAAAAAAGTTCATTTTTATGACCTAATATCTAGGATCATAGCACTGTTTCAGCTTTAGTTATGTTTACCCATTCAGTGTTACCCCATGATGCTTAGACTGAGATGAAAGTATGTACGCTCATACTTTAGAAACTTCTATGAGGTCGCTGTAGGTGTTTTTCTGAGTCTTCCATGTGACTTAATCTTTGATATTTTAGGAAAATGATAGTCTCGTCTAGACCGTTTTAATAACTCTGGACAAATATATGCTAGGTCGTCATTATGAAACTCTCATATCCGAGTTTATCTGCAGGGACCGTTATTTTTAGATCACAAAAATAGACACATTGAAGTGATTGCGGAGGAATACAGACACTCCTACTGCAGAATTTTAAGTCTTTTCTATTTTTATAACAAAAGGTTGTAATTACCGTCTGGCAGAAAGGACTGTGCAGGAAGACTCAGCCGGGTAAAATGAATATAAGAGAGGAATTAATACTGCCTTTCTTGTCATGCCAGGCAATTTATAAAGACCTTTAACCCTGAAAAGGCCGTGGCTGTGGTTATCAGTTTTTGAGTTAACACTTTAATGTCCATGTTCTCAGATTCCTCTGTCCCATGCAGTGGCACGTCACTATTTTAGTCCTTGGTTAGAGATTTTCTGCTACAATAATACCATTGTATCAGTTAGATTTGGAAGCATCTAATTTTCTATGAGGATTTGATTTCTCTTTTCACAGACCGTTTTGGTTCTGTTGGTTGTGGCACTTTCTTCAGTACAGAGTAGGGGACAGAGGGTGTGTGTTGACAGTTCCCGTAGGACTTGGGTCACTGACTCCTGCACGGGGGCTTGGAGGAGCCTGCAGATGGTCTCATGTCCCCAGAAGGAGTGCGAGGCTTAGTGGCAGTACTGTGCTGGGATGAGCGCGCCCTTCCCTCCGCTCTGCCACTCACCGGCTCTAGGGCCTGTCTCTGCTTCCATTTCCCCCTCTATCCCCGGATGACTGTGAGATGAAGTCAGCACCCAGGACGTGGGAAGTGCTGTGAAAAGCATCGAGTGCTCTGCTTGGCCCTCGTGTGTCTTCGTATAGACCCAGAGCACCAGGACCCTAGTCCCGTGCTCGTTCCTCCCCTCACATCCACGTCCTGCACTAGGGGAATTTCTGAACCCCAGGTTCTCTAAAGAAGAAAATGCCAAATCAACATTGCTTCTTCTCTTTAAAAGACAGGACAAAACAAACACTTCATAATCCAAGGGTTCTGGGAATAGTTTAAGGAAAAAAGAAATTTTTCCATAAGGCTTCAGAAGTCCAGTCCTTTTGAATCAATCTGCAGGCTTATGTTGGGTTTGTGTATGTGTGTGTGTTGGGGGGTGCATGCCTTGTTGATAACAACTGCAGTCTGTGTGCAGAATGTTGGAGTACCATGCTATGCTAAATGCTATACTATTAATGAATGACATCTCACTGTGCTAAAAGCTGCTGTTTTCTGTGTCTAAGTCACTAACCACAAAGCTGTGTGTGTTGCAGTGGGAACCAGAAGACGGCTTTCCTGCTTCCTGCAGCAGAGGCTTGGGAGAAGAGGTGCTTTATGATAACGCAGGCCTGTACGATAACTTGCCGCCTCCGCAAATCTTTGCCCGCTACTCTTCTGCTGACAGAAAGGCCTCTAGGCTGTCTGCTGACAAGCTGTCCTCTAACCATTACAAATACCCCGCCTCCGCTCAGTCTGTCACTAATACCTCTTCTGTGGGGAGGGCGTCTCTCGGGCTCAACTCGCAGGTATGGCATCTTCTTCTGTAAGATTCTAGAACCACCTTCAAGTCACATTGCTCCAACAGAGTTTTGCAGCTTGTAGTAAATGGGACTCATCAAAGGCAAAGCGTAATGGTTTTTTTTTTTTTCCTCAATTAGAATATAATTTGCAGCCTGACTACCAAGGAACTGATGAGATATTTCTAATGAGCTCATGGTTTATCTGAGCACTGTGTTTCTTTGCCCACATCTGGCTCTCTTTCTGTTCTTGGAAAATTCCCCAGTGAAATTTTGTGAATTATGTCAACTAAAGGAAGAGAATTTAAAAGAAACGGGTAGTAAAACCTTCCAGAAGATTCTTGAACGGCCAGTTTCTTTAGCATGTTTCCATTACACGTAATGAGGAAGGGTTGACTCTGTAGTCATTGCTTTTGATCTTTAAACATGAAATAGATTATTCAGAGTACGATAGTGTTTCTCCATGACAAGTCTAAAGGTATACTCTCCAAAACTAGACAACGATAATAAGGACTTTTGATGACCATTGAACAATAATAACCGTGATGTTGAACTGTTGTCCATTGCACACCCTGTATTTATGGCCAACAGTAACATTTCAGAGTAATTTTGTAGTGTTAGGCCTTTAAAAAAAAAAAAAAAAAAAGATGAAGTCTCACTATGTTGCCCAGGCAGGACTTGAACTGTGGGCTCAAGTGATCCTCCTGCCTTGGCCTCCCAAGTAGCTGGGACAACAGGCACATGCCACTGTGCCCGCCTTATACATGTTTAACCTAAGGATTTTTTATGCTTTGCCTAAAGACCTAAGCCCATATGTAAGAATATGAACATACAGCAGATGGGTATGTTTTAGGTCTTTGTTTTTTTCTCCATTCTTTGGAAAGTCTTAAGAAAATAATGAACCAGATAAAATTGTAGAATTGTAGATAGTAGTGACTGAGAACACTAACTCCCAATAGGTTGGCTTCATCAAAAGTCAGATGCGCAGGTTGGTGTTGGTTTTTGATTTTTCATGATGGTTGTTCAGATCCCATCCCTGGGAATTCCCATTCAGTGAGTCTGAGGGGCCCTGAGCCAAGTGTAGTTGGGGGGCAGGGGTAGGGGAGCCGTTGGCCTCTTTTGAGGACTTAACACCAGAAAGTTGGCAGGTTATGTGTTGTATTTATTAAGTGAATGTGTATCTGTCTACGTTTCTACCTGTCTTTTTATTGGCATTAGAGTCGCCTTAGGTAAAACCCTGCCACAGTTGGCCATCTTGCACACTTGGATTGTCCCCACATGGGTTGGGAATCATTCGATGTATGGTTCCCATGTGGAGTTTTTGTTATTATTGCTCCCTTTTGTTTTTGTTGAAATAGGAAACACTTTTGCAAGTTAAATTCCATGACCTCTGGGTTTCCTGTCCTCATTTGGTCATTTTAATGGGAGCCTATTGCTTACTGGCGAGACCTTGCACTTTTCTGAGCACTTACGTGCCGTATGCTTCATCCGTGTATGGCACACCATCTGATCTTTTTAGGAACCCTGTGGGGAGATATCTCTTTACATTTTTAAATGATCAAATGGGGGCTCAGAAAGTTTAAAGAACTTGCTCAACATCTCCTAAATGACAGAGCCAGAATTTGGAGCTAGATCTCTCTGCCTCCCAAAAACTGAGGCCTGCAACAGAAGGAAACGTATCATGGAAAAAAGCATGGGCGTGGATGCTGGAGTGAGCCTTTGCCGTCGTGCTGAGTTAATCACACAACTAAGCTACACGTAAGGTCACTTCAGCAAAATGCAAAACGTGTTGGCCTGTATCAGTCTCAGGGGTAGAGTACTGTTTCCCTGTTTCAGAAACCTGTAGTTAGTGGAAGTTTAGTTTCCCTATTATGGCTGCTGCGTCTGTGTTATGCTGCTTTTGCTTCCTTCCATGGATTCCATCAGCAAGTAAGAAGGCGGTCACTTACCCCATTAGGATGTCACTCAGTGTCAAAGCACTTGGAGCAGCAGAACTCACACTGCAGGGTCGTGCTCCTCTCCTAAAAGGCATCCCACTGAAATAAAAGCTGTTTATCCTCAGAAACACACACTCCTCCTCTGAGCTGAGTGCTCTGGGGTCGTCAGCTGCCTGTGCCAGCTTGGTTAGCATTTGCGATCTGCCAGTAGAAAGGGGTCACTTCCGCAGCATTCCAGCGGATCACATCCTACAGAGCCTCTGCCACACCCTCCTTAGCCATTCCCCAGAATCCCAGCAGCCCAGTGTTTGGAAACCATCTTTTTTTTTTTTTTTTTTTTTTTGAGACGGAGTCTCGCTCTGTCGCCCAGGCTGGAGTGCAGTGGCCGGATCTCAGCTCACTGCAAGGTCCGCCTCCCGGGTTTACGCCATTCTCCTGCCTCAGCCTCCCGAGTAGCTGGGACTACAGGCGCCCGCCACCTCGCCCGGCTAGTTTTTTTTTGTATTTTTTAGTAGAGATGGGGTTTCACCGGGTTAGCCAGGATGGTCTCGATCTCCTGACCTCGTGATCCGCCCGTCTCGGCCTCCCAAAGTGCTGGGATTACAGGCGTGAGCCACCGCGCCCGGCCTACCATCTTGGTTTTCTTTCACGTTCATTTTTTTCTGTGTCGATGCTAGTTTCTCTAATACTTAGAGACTGAAAGAAACGACTGCAGGAAAAAAAAAAAGATTTGTTCGACTGTGTGTTTATTTTTCATGTTCTTATATGTTTATTTCAACAGCTCAAGGGTAAAAAGCCCCCCGTGGCATCTAATGGGGTCACAGGAAAAGGGAAGACTCTGAGCAGTCAGCCAAAAAAAGCGGATCCTGCGGCTGGTGTGAAAAGGACAGCTTCGAGTAAGTATACCATCGGATGTCTTGCATTCTGGCTTCAAGCGCACTTGGTGGAGCTGGGCCTGTCTGAGCCTGCCCACCAGTGAGTGCGAGCTTGGGGTCAGCTGGAGAGACAGAGCGATGGGTACCGTCATCCTTCCTCATCGGCCATGTGGAAGGACAGTGGCGAATTCAACCCAGCTTTTCTGACCGTGCTTGTAAATTGAAGCCCAGAACTGGTTTGCTGCCTGTGAGATTGACTCAGCATTTTAAAATAGGAGGCAGTTGTGAGTGCAGGTTGCTTGCAGCTCCAGGTAGCCCTGGACTCCAGGTCAGGAGACCTCAACTCTGGTCCCTGATCTGTGGTTGACAAGCCGTGCAAACTCTAAACTCAGCATCTTTTTCTGTCAGACATAGACACTTGGCTCCCGTGGTTGGCGCAGCTGGGATAACTGAGGTAGTACATGGACCTCAAGGTACCAGAGCAGTACGAGGAGTTCTGAGGAATGGTTAGTCCTGCGGTGCCTGTGTCCACAGCAAGCCATTCTTATGCAATCCGGTTTACTAAACACAGCCACTTTGTAAGCACAGGCATTATCCTTTACCCCATCATAGAAATGAGAAAAGAATAACCAGGAGAGTAAGCAGCTCTCCCGAGGGCTCACAGCTGGTACATCACAGAGCCAGAGTGGGTGCCAGGCTTTCAAACTCCACGTCCAGCCGAAAATAGATTGGGCAGAGAAGCATTAAGATATGAGAGACTCAGCCTGCCTGTACCCAGCACCTTCTTCCCTTGCCTCCACTAGATCCATCTGGGGTGATATGGCATCTCTTAAGTGTTTGTATTTGCATTAGTCCTCATTATGTTGGATGTCTAATCAGGGAGCCAGCCAGGCAGCATTTTTTCACTCAAGGCACTCAAAGATACACTGAAGTAGTTGCTGTCTGGCAGCTTCAGTCCAACAGATCCACACATGCAGACAAGCAAGTGGTAGGGCTGCAGTGTGGGGATTTACAGGTGAGGGCCTCCTGAGTCCATCTGGGCACGTCCAGGAAGATTTCCCAGAGGAAGAAGGTGGGAGTTAGGTGCAGATGTTGAGTTTGATGTGGTTACATGCCATCGCCCCTTGGAATTTGTACCCGAGATTTTCGAATCTGGATCTGTGCAACTGGTAGACCAGTCTCTGTGCTAATGAAGATGAGTCCGGCTAGCCCCAGCTGGTAACCCCCACGCCAGCTGCCGAAGAGAGAGGCTCTCATACCAGCACGTGCCGACATCCCTTTGCCCTGTGGTTCTGGTTTTGGAGTCAGAGTATCCACATAGGGGAATGGAGAGGCTGGCAGTGTCCTTGACCATGTTTGTGGACGAGGCTTGGAATCGCTCCGCAGGACCAGGCGGCGTCTTGCCCCGAGGAAGTGTGTACATCCCTGACCTAAGCTTTTCTCCACCTCTGTTCCACCCAACATGCATGTTGACCAGATAGGTTGGAGCCAGTTGGGCCAAAGCCTCCCTCCTACCCCCATTTGTTTAATGTACTAACTTCCTTTGACCTTATCTGGCAAATCTTATTTCCTGAATGTGTTGGGTGTATTTACTTTCACCTCTTTTCGTGTTGTTTCTTTGGGGAGGGGCAGATGGGGGAGAGGAGTAGCTCACACCCGGAAAGGTTTATTAAAAGCAAAATCTGAATCCCACGGAGTCTCATTCGCCATGGTGTTTCTCTGTCAGTACCAGTGCTGACTTCATTTTCTAGATGATTTATTCCTTTTATGAGACCTTCTGTAGGGAGTTTTTATTAACTTTGGTGACATCTAATGGTGACAAAAGAGAAAAATAATGGCATTCCGTGTTTTTGCTGAATCCAGCCACTTGCATTATAGATTAGATGAGATTACATGGGGACCAAAAGATGTGGAGATTTATAGGTTACTGCATTGCGTTTGTTGGGAAAACAGCTTACTTTAGAAATAAGTGAGTAGAGTTCGGACTTGGCCCTGTTTGCAAAATATGTCGTTATTTTAGCTGCGAACAGTGATCCTTTCGTTTCAGGTTGTTGAGTGCTTCGCCTCTCCTCAGGCTGCTGACCCTTTTGCTGTCATTCTGTTTCTTTTGGTTAGGGGAAAATTGACTGGGGAGTGATCACTTTTTATACCTTCATAAATGCAGTATTTCATTGAAATCGTGATGGCTTACATTGCAAGAATTGGCAAATCCAGCATTTAGGACAGGTGCTAGAAATGGCTCCCTGCTGTCCCTGAGAGGACAAGGCTCTGGGAATCACTTATTGCCGATATGGTAAGAATTGTCAGTCAGTGTCCACTACGTCAGGCATCATGTTATTTTGTTAGATTTTTTTCAGATATATGTTTCTGATTTAAAACACACACACACACGCGTCTCATTTAAAACGTGCACATGTGCACACTCACACATGCACATGTACACATGCATGCACACACACAGGATTCCTTCTCGTTTCTGCTTTAGAGAGGGTGAAGCTGAGCTTCTCCAGAGGTTGCTTGCAGAGTCATGTAGCAAGGGAGGGTGGAGTGTGGGTTTCTAGCCACCTCCCTGAGTCCAGTGTTTTTGTTCTTAACCATCATGCCACCCCCGTGGCTTCTACCTGAAGTAGTTTCTAGCCCTGCGAGCGAGTCAGACGCGTGGGGTGTGCGGTCAGGAAGGCCTGGGAGTTGCCCTCAGGTGTGAGTGATCGTTAGAAGCGACTGGGAGATCACGGAAGCTTTGAAATCGGTGATCCTCCATCCGAGTTTTGTTAGAACCTTCATTTCTTCCATGTGTCTTAACAAAGAGGTGTTGTCCTAAATTACTGTTATTAAAAGGCCCACATAATAAGAGGAAGAGAGCGTGGGGCCAGGTTTTGAAAGCCGTTTTCACGGGTGGTGTGATGTTGCCAAGTCTGTGAATTTTCCCTTCGGCTAGTTTCCTCTTCATTTATTCATTTTATGAAATACGCATTTATGTATTGCCCATTTTTGTGTTTGTTCTAAGTGCTTTATAAATATTTAATCCTTGCAACCACTCAGTGCATTACTATTCCCATTTCACAGATAAGGGAAACTGAGGCACAGAGGGATTTCGTGCCCTGTTCCAGGTCATGCAGCTACACGTACAAGCTGGGACTCCTTCCTAGACAGTCAGGCTCCAGATACTGCTCCTGGCTGCCTCTTCATGTATCTGCTGTTCATTCAGTCACTAAACAAGCATTGATTGTGCCACACTCCGTGCCAGGTGCTGGTCTCAGTGCTGGGGGTGTAGCAGCAATTCAGAGGAATTCAGAGCCAGGCAGATGACATGACCGTAAGGAACAGACACTGCAGGGTTATGGAGGAGTTTGAAGATGTAGAGAAGGAAGCAGATTTCAGACATTATTTTTGATAGTAATAGACTCCTGTGTCTGTTATAAAATGTTCACACTCCACCTTGTTGAGATTAATTATAAGCCATGTGCCTCAAAGGGAAGTGAGTTAAAGGAATCTCCTAATATTCTGTTTGTTTTTAAAAATTTGATTCAAAGAATATTGGAGAATTTGAACTAGTCGCTTTTCTGCTTAGTTCAAACCAGCCCTGTCCTTTTTCTTACTGAATTAGCACAGTAACTGGCTTTGTGTTTGTTTACTCAGTTGGCTGATTAAACAGGCTTTTTTGAGTTCCCACATTGTCTGCTTGAATAAACCTAATGTTTTTTGACATGGGGTCTCACTGTCATCCAGGCTGGAGCACAGTGGCAGAATCACAGCTCACTGCAGCCTCAAACTCCCCAGCTCAAGCGACTCTCCCACCTCAGCCTCCTGAGTAGCTGGGACTACAGGCATGTGCCACCACGCCTGGCTAATTTTGTATTTTTTGTAGAGAAGGGATCGTCCCATGTTTCCCAGGCTAGTAAACCTAATTTTTAATTGCTGCTTTTTTTTCTTCTCGAGATGCTGCCCAGTACAAGTATGGCAAGAACCGGGTAGAAGCAGATGCCAAGCGGCTACAGACCAAAGAAGAGGAGCTGCTGAAGAGGAAAGAGGCCCTGCGGAATAGGCTGGCCCAGCTCCGCAAGGAAAGAAAAGACCTTCGAGCGGCCATTGAAGTGAACGCAGGTATGAAGGATGCGGGTGACTGCCCAGGGTGCATGTTTGTATTGGAGACTGGAGATTTCATTCTGCTTTGCCCAAAGGACCTGTTGCTCACCAAGGCTGCCATTTTATTTAGTAAGAGTAGGTTATTTATTTGGTAAGAGTGAGTTATTTGGTAAGAATGGGTGGGTTGGTGAGAGTGGGTTAGTTGGTAAGAGTGGGTTAGTAAGTGGGTTAGTGGGTAAGTGGGTTAGTTGGTGAGAGTGGGTTAGTGGGTGAGAGTGAGTAAGAATGGGTTAGTAACAGTGGGTGATTTGGTGAGAGTGAGTTGGTAAGAGTGGGTTGGTGAGTGGGTGAGCGTGGGTTAGTGGGTTAGTTGGTGAGAGTGGGTTATTTGGTGAGAGTGGGCTGGTGGGTGAGAGTGGGTTAGTTGGAGAGAGTGGGAGTGGGTTAGTTGGTAAAAGTGGGTTAATTAGTAAGAGTGGGTTAGTTGTGAGTGGGTTAGTGGGTGAGAGTAAGAGTGGGTTAGTTGGTGTGAGTGGGTTAGTGGTTTATTTGGTGAGAGTGGGCTAGTAAGAGTGGGTTAGTTGAAGTGGGTTAATTAGTAAGAGTGGCTTAGTAAGAGTGGGTTAGTTGGTGTGAGTGGGTCAGTGGGTGAGAGTGGGTTAGTGGGTTATTTGGTGAGAGTGGGCTAGTAAAAGTGGGTTAATTAGTAAGAGTGGCTTAGTAAGAGTGGGTCAGTGGGTGAGAGTGGGTTAGTAAGAGTGGGTTACTTGGTGTGAGTGGGTGAGAGTGGGTTAGTAAGAGTGGGTTGGTGTGAGTGCTTTAGTTGGTGAGAGTGGGTTAGTGGGTTATTTGGTAAGAGTGGGTTAGTAAGAGCGGGTTAGTTGGTGTGACTGGGTGAGAGTGGGTTAGTGAGAGTGGGTGGGAGTGGGTGAGTTGGTGAGAGTGGGTGAGTTGGTGTGAGTGGGTGGGAGTGGGTGAGTTGGTGTGAGTGGGTTAGTGGATGAGAGTGGGTTATTTGGTGAGAGTGGGTTAGTAAGAGTGGGTTAGTTGGTGTGAGTGGGTGGGAGTGCGTGAGAGTGGGTGAGTGGGTGGCAGTGGGTGAGTTGGTGAGAGTGGGTTAGTTGATGTGAATGGGTTAGTGGGTTATTTGGTGAGAGTGGGTTAATAAGAGTGGGTGAGTGGGTCAATTGGTGAGAGTGGGTTAGTGGGTTATTTGGTAAGAGTGGGTTAGTAAGAGTGGGCTAGTGGGTGAGAGTGAGAGTGGGTTAGTGGGTAAGAGTGGGTTAGTAAGAGTGGGTTAGTTGGTGTGAGTGGGTTAGTGGGTTATTTGGTGAGAGTAAGAGTGGGTTAGTGGGTGAGAGTGGGCGAGAGTGGGTTAGTAAGAGTGGGTTATTTGGTGAGAGTGGGTTAGTGGATGAGAGTGAGTAAGAGTGGGTTAGTGGATGAGAGTGGGCTTGTAAGAGTGGGTTAGTTGGTGAAAGTGGGTTAATTAGTAAGAGTGGGTTAGTTGGTGTGAGTGGGTGAGAGTGGGTAAGAGTGGGTTAGTTGGTGTGAGTGCTTTAGTTGGTGAGAGTGGGTTAGTGGTTATTTGGTGAGAGTGGGTGAGAGTGGGTTAGTTGGTGAGAGTGGGTGAGAGTGGGTGAGTTGGTGAGAGTGGGTGAGAGTGGGTGAGTTGGTGAGAGTGGGTTAGTAAGTGGGTTAGTGGGTATGAGTGGGTTAGGCGGTGAGAGTTGGTGAGAGTGGGTTAGCGGGTGTGAGTGGGTCAGTTGGTGAGAGTGGGTTACTGGGTGAGAGTGGGTTAGTAAGTGGGTTAGTGGGTGAGAGTGGGTTAGCGGGTGAGAGTGGGTTAGTGGGTAAGAGTGGGTTAGTGGGTTAGCGGGTGAGAGTGGGTTAGTAAGAGTGGGTGAGAGTGGGTTAGTGGGTTAGTGAGAGTGGGTTAGCGGGTGAGAGTGGGTGAGAGTGGGTTAGTGGGTGAGAGTGGGTTAGTAAGAGTGGGTTAGTGGGTGAGAGTGGGTTAGTGGGTTAGTGGGTGAGAGTGGGTTAGTAAGAGTGG